ATATTTATAATAATGCCAAAATGTAAAAAAGTACATAATATATTATGGAAAGAAAAGCTAAAGCTGAAAAATCTCTCAAATATGGAGTAAAACGGCAGTAAATCTCTATTTGAGAATGTTAAACATGAGCTATTTTGGCATCATCCTGTTAAGTGCGTCATCTGCATGCATGTCTATTCATGTAGTGTGTGTGTGTGTGTGTGTGTGTGTGATTGTGTGTGTGATTGTGAAAACCAGCTTATGCATCTGCAACAAACACCCCGTGACCCTAAAGAAGTCCTGACTTGTCAGAGCTCAAGCTTTCTTTTTCCAGTAAAAACTACGAGGGCATATTTTTGAGTATGAGTGTGTTGAAATGCAAACATCTGCACTCAGAGAGAGAAACTGACGCACTCTGGAGTCTGGATGTTTACTCTGATCAGCAGGATGTTTAGTTGCATGTTTGCATGAGCTTCACGCAGCTCCGTCGCAGCAGGAAACTCGTTCAACAAGTCACATCTCTCACCTTCACTGACAAAAAAATCAGTTTGAGGGAAACCGCAACTAAATACTCTCCAACTTATAGTCTCATTTAGGTGTAGCCAGTGAAATGCACAAAATCATGCATAGCAAAATAAGTTATTCATTAGCCATCCATGCTCCACTAAGAAGCTTCTGGAAACTTTTCTTTGCATAAGAGATTAAGACTAAAGGGCGCCTATAGATGAAAATCATCTTTTGTAAGCTGTTTAAACAGAACTGTGTGTCAGTATAGTGTGTCCACAGTCATATTGGAGTGATAAAAAGACAATAAGTCTCTTGTTTTAATGTCCTGACGCTAAAATAGGATCCAAACCCCTCCCATTTTTAGGCCGACTACAATGTGACAAAGGAGTGTGGTTTCTCTGCCCACCGAATTTATTGACAGACGAGTAATACCGTATCTCTAGTAATACCAACCGGGATTAAAAGATCTGTTGAGCTCTCTGTGATCATGGTTCATCATCAAATATGATCAAGAATAAATTTTACAAGTTTAACATGATTTTAAAACAGCGCATGTTTGTTATAAAGACTGAAATCTCTGTAATTCATCACCACAGCTGCAGGTCAGTACAATTATAAAAGAAGACGCTTCAATCTATGTTAGTGGACAATAAATCAGGTTTATTTTGTACATTGACATAACAGATATCCATACAGCAGTGGATATTAACCTGTATCCTGTCACATTTGCGTGCAAAAACAGTGCAAAGTTAAATGCGTGCGCGTTGTGTGTGTCCTCTGTGTGTGTGCGTGAACTTTGTAACGACATTGTGTATGGCTCACCGAATGGCTTGCATTAACTCCACAACAAATACATCAAATAATCATTGGTAAAGTTCTTATTGTAGTATTTCTCACAAACGTTACGTGAGATCTGCTTCCTTCATGTTTGTCACTGTGCTGTTTATCTGAGCAGAAAATCCAACATTCTGAAAGGTATAATAAATAATCTGATGGGTGTTTTGAGCTGAAACTTTACAGACACATTCTGGAATCATAAAAGACCTATCTTAAATCTTGAAAAAGGGGTAGGTGCCCTTCAAAATATTTGCTATAGAATAAAATTTTATTTAAGCGATAGTTCACCCAAGATCTAATATTTTACTTGAATTTATTTACTAATATTTTCTCATTTTACTTTACCAACATCTTGGTAGTGATTTACAAAAGCGTTTACACCAAAAAAAAAAAAAAAAATGTTAAAAACTGCACTTTAAAATTGCTGTAAATTATTTACAGTTTGTGAAACTGTATAATGACCAGTTGAATGTTATGTAATTTGAGAATTTTGCGTCTAGTTTTTATTTTATTATTATTTATTTTTTGATTTATTATAATTTTTTTAATTTATTGATTCATTTATTTTCCTTGGGCTTAGTCTCTATTTTTAGAGGTGGCCACAGCGGAATGAACCGCCAACTATTCCATCATATGTTTTACAAAGCAGATGCACTTCCAGCTGCAACCCATTACTGGGAAACATCCATACACACTCATCCACACACACACAAACACACACTCCAATTTCTCCAATTCCCCTTTAGCATATGTTTTTGAAATGTGGGGGAAACCAGAGCACCCGGAGGAAACCCACGTCAACACAGGGAGAACATGCAAACTCCACACAGAAATGCCAACTGGTTCAGCCAGGACTCGAACTCGCGATCTTCTTGCTTTAAGGTGACAGTGCTAACCACTAAGCCACCGTGTCACCCTATTTAATCAGTTAATAACAATTTTATATTACTTAATTATTAAATGGAGTTAACTTGTTAACAAAGCTTTGGCAGCTGGCTTTTTAGCCAATCACCTACTCCCTAAAACGTATTTAAAGCAGACCAGCTTTTTTTTAGTCAAGACAACTATTTTTAGACGTCTATTAGACATCTATTAGACATCTATTTGACATCTATTGGACATTTGTTAGACATCTATTTGACATCTATTAGGGATCTATTAGACATTTACTAGACATCTATTTGACATCTACTAGACATCTATTTGACATCTATTTGACATCTATTAGACATCTATTTGACATCCATGTGACATCTATTAGACATTTATTAGACATTTATTAGACATCTATTTGACGTCTATTAGACATCTATTTGGCATCTATTTGACATCTATTTGACATCTATTAGACATCTATTTGACATCTATTTGACATCTATTAGACATCTATTAGACATCTATTTGACATCTATTAGACATCTATTTGACATTTATTAGACATCTATTAGATATCTTTTTTTTTTTTTAATTAAAAAAGGTCTTCGGGCATCATCATAGCACGCCCAATCATCTTACCTACCTATTCACTATTTATCTTCTTCCGTTCCCCTTCATCCCACTGTTCCCTTAGCATCCCATTCACCTCTACATCCCTACAATAAAGTCTAGCTCAAAATGTGTGGCGTAGTCCATGCTAGTAAAAAAGTATTGTATTTTTATTTTAAAATGGTTTGGTCATCTTTATGCCACAAACAATTCAACCCAAACTAACTGGTGTCATGCTTTTCACAACAATTATTGTTTCAAAGCAGTTTTACGCACTTTTCGCATTACAATGAGCAGAAAGAAAGATCTGCTGTTGTGTTTGACATCCAATCTCTGTTTTGCATACAAACTAGTTTTGAGGAAGTTGGGCTCTCTGACCTACATGGCAAGGGTTATACTATTATTAAACCAATTGTGTGTGTGTGTGTGTGTGTGTCTGCGGATATGTGTGGGTGTGCAAGAATGCATGGTTTAAGAGATAACTGAAGTTTACATCTAAAGTTTTTCTTCTGTAGGAAACAGTCATGTTTTCTTTCTTTCACATGCATTTGATGCACTCTCACAGCATTACAGTCGACCGCATCCCCGTACCGCTAAAACCAGCAAATGCAAAAAGACAAAGCAGTGATGGGAAGTGAAAACATGTCAGTTTGTTGTCTCCTGTTTTCACCTCATATGTGTGGTTTCGGTACTTGCTTTATCTCTCAGCAAACAGGCGTTTCCTCCACAACACGATTTATCATCATCTGCGCCCAAACCAAAAAGACAAAAAAACAAAAAACAAAAAAGATGTGATGACCAGCAGATCTACATTTTAGTTCTACTCTATTATATAATTATATAATTAAAGTCTGTGAGAAATCAAAATTTCCAATGTCTACTGTAAAATGTGCACATTGCGATTTTTTAGGTGAACTGTAAATGTGATGACAGACGTTATGTTTTTATTTCATTCATTTATATAATATTATAAAATTTGAATTATTGCACACTGTTTAGAAACAAATTACTGAATAAATAAAACAATAATAATAAACTGACCAGCATCTTAGTATAGTAATACAATAAATATATGAATAAATGTATTAATATCTGAGAAAAATAATTTATTTAAATATGTTGGGGAATATATATATATATATATATATATATATATATATATATATATATATATATATATATATATATATATATATATATATATATATATATATATATATATATATATATATATATACACACACACACACACCTTCATTTACCATTAAAAACACATCAAAATTTAGGTAATAATTTAGTAATGAATTTCATTTTTTTGACTTGGTTAATTTAAACTCAGCAATTTTATTTTTAAAGCTAATTCGTTAAATTAAAGATTAGTTCACATTACTTAAAAAATAATAATACAAAATCTACTCAAAAATTATTGCTTCTTTTTTTGGAACAACATGTTTCTTTACTCGTTAGGTTAGAAAAGTAGCATTATTATGTAACTAATGTCATAGCAGTTAATTAATACTGCAATTCTACTCTCAATTAGAATGCAAATTAAATACATTGATGATTTAAAAAATAATACATAAATCGACTAGTGTAGTAGCTGCAATATAGAATACATAAATAAAATGAACTGAATTCTTAACAAACAAATAATATAAACAAACAAAACAAGAATAGTTTAGTAGACTATCAACTATGAACCATGAACTATAAAAAAAGTTTTCATTCATTTTCCTCCAGCTTAGTCCCTTTATTTATCAGGGGTCGCCACAGCGGAATGAACCACCAACTCTTCCATCATATGTTTTATGCTGCAGATGCCCTTTCAACTGCAACTCAGTACTGGGAAACATCCATCTGGCAATCACACACACATACACTACAAGACAATTTAGCTTATTCAATTCACCTATATGTGGTTGGTCTGTGGGGTAAACCAGAGCACCCAGAGGAAACCCACGCCAACACAGAAAGAACATGATGCAAACTCCTCAAAGAAACGCCAGCCGGGACTCGACCCAGCAACCTTCTTGCTGTGAGGTGAAAGTGCCAACCACAGTGCCAACCAGCCACCGTGTCGTCTATAAACTTATTTGTAACTTTGGCTTTTAAACTATCAGAAACACAAAAATAATCAAAGCAATTATGATGTCATAGTTTGACGGTGTTCCATTGGACATGAGAGGAAAAACAAGAAGATGTCATCGGTATGGAACGACACCGCTATTCTGACGACACACACAGAGAGAGGGGGAAACTCGAGGGCTTCATTTGCGTTCAACACACGGACCAGAAAGAGTTGAGACCGAACTGAATGTGTTTCTCAATCATGGGGAAAGCTTTCTTGATCGTTTTGGTCACTTTATTTCTTCTGAACACGACGCAGACGCAAGGTAAGCACATTAATACGTGATTCACTGCACAATAGTCCGCTGCATTGCAGTTTATTTTCCATGAGTTTCCTGTTATCAGCGGTTCAGTTTACTCATTTATTTCAACTATAGGCTTATTATTATTTTATAGACCAATTTAAAAACGCATAATAAACTCTAAAAGAAAGCACGTGGATAATTCCCTAGTTATGGTAACATTCTTGGTGGGAAAGTTGGTGGGAAAATTCTGCCATCCTCTGTTTGTTCCAAATATTTCTGAGTTTCTTTCTTCTTTCTAAGTAGATATTCTGAAGAAACGTGTAAACATGGCATCTTAGTTTTTTTTTTGTTTTTTCCTACAATGGAAGTCAAAGGTTACAGGATTTCAGCATTCTTCAAAGTATCTTCTTTTGTGTTCAGCAGAAGAAACTCAGTTGTTTGGAACCATTTGAAGGAGAGCAAATAGAGCAAATAAATTTATTTTGGATGAGCTATCCCTATAAAGATTGCATTCCTTATTAAAATATAAGCATGTATATTTAGTCGACTATACAATAAATAGTTTTATTTAATGTTTTGCTAATCTGTAAAATTATATAATGTTAATCATTTACCGACAAACTATTATTATCAGACACTTTTAACAACCTTTAAAAAGAGGAACAAAGCAGTTTTATTACACGGTCAGAAATAAAGGTGCAAAATCTGTCACTGTGGTGGTATACGTACTCAAAACTACGCGTTTGCACCGTACAGTAAGTAAATAAAGTTTTATTTATATAGCACTTTTTACAGACATTGTCACAAAGTTCTTTACAATAAGAGAAAACCAGAAATAAGGTAAAATAACACATGACAATAAATCAAAACATATTAAAAACAAGTTAAAAATCCAAGTACAGAAACACTAATACTGTTAATTAAAAGCTTGACCAAAACGATGTGTCTTTATGGTTCACTTTTGTATCTTTATGGTACTATAAGGAACACATTTGTACTTTTTAGGTATTAATATGCACCTGCAACGATCTGATACACTGTTAGACCTTACCGGGGTTTTTTACAGTAGAACACTGGCAACACTGTTGCCAGCCACTCACTGTAAAAGTTTGGTTACAGTAAGTAACTGGCAACAGTGTTGCCAGTTAATTACTGCAACTGAACCATTACAGTGAGTGGCTGGCAACAGTGTTGCCAGTTATTTACTGTAACTGAACCGATACAGGGAGTAGCTGGCAACAGTGTTGCCAGTTAATTACTGTAATAGAGCAGCAGTGGTAACTAACTGGAAACTGTGTACAGTTAATTACTGTATTGTAGTGTTACAAATCACAGCATTATACTGCATACACATTAATAGTTTGTCATATATAGTTATTGTAGTGTTACTAAAATTAATCAGTATTCTTAGCTGTTATTTAAAAATAGAAGGCATAAAATTTTTCAGACAAATATATTTTATTGTTTTGGCACGAAACAAATAAATAACAGAAAAAGTATAACAAAATTAAGAAATCAGCAGATATAAATATTGTCTTGCATATTACAGGTCTGCACAGTAAGGCTGCAGTCACACTAACATTTGAGCAAGCAAAATTCTGTCATACGGCACTGCGAAGTGGAATTAAACAAAGCGAGTAGTGGAATTAAACAAAATAATTAGAGATTGAAAAAGCAAGCCAGAGAGGTCATGTTTTGATCTTTGATTGGTATCAAGCAATCACATGATGTGATTTCGCATGTCAGCGTTCTCCAAGCTTGAACTTTCCAATGCTGCGAATTATGAAATTTGTCGCATGAGCTATCATTCCAGGTCTGCAGTACTCACATGCGTATGAATGGAAGTCTATAGGGAGAAAAGTGCAGTGTGACCGGGACTTTAAGCTGTAACTCTAATTAAACACACCTGATCAAACTAATTAAGGCTTGTTAGAAATCTACAGGTAATGTTGAAGCAGGGTGGGTACTAAACTCTGCTGCGATGCAGTTCTCCAGGAACTTGGAGTTTGACCCCCATGGTATACAGCAGTGGTGCTCAATCCTGTTCCTGGATATCTACCTTCCTGCAGATTTCAGTTGCTACCCATATCAAACACACCTGCCTGTAATTATCATGTGGTGTTCAGGTCCTAATTAATTGGTTTAGGTGTGTTTGAAATGAATAGCAACTAAAATCTGCAGGAAGGTAGATCAGCAAATGAACAGCAAAAAACACAACATAATTATTTTAAAGTTTAAAGTTTTAAATAATTAAAAACTGTGTTAAATCTCAATAAAAAGTTTAAAGTGATTATAACAAATAAAGTTTGCAACACCGAAAAACCAAAGGATCCAATCTTTTATTGTTATAATTATCTCATGACAACAAACTTTATTATTGTTTCTAATATAAATTCATAGGTGGAAACACTGCTCTGAAAAATACTTAGCAACAAACTCACAACCTGGGACCGGACAGTGGAGCTTTTGTGTGTGGATGGCTATGTGTATCATGTTTTTGTGATTTCCTGTGACGATGTGCACAAGTTACCTTACTGAGATGAAGGAATTTAATTTTGGCTTAGTTGCCAGAAAGATACATGCAACTGTTAGCATCTGTACATTATGGCAGTATGCAATATCCAATAAATACTTAAACAAAAGTAATGTAAGAAGTTATATGAGGACAGGCTAACTAGCTAACAATGTAGCTTTCAAGTACACAGTTCAAAATAACAACAATATAACTTAAAACACAGCCTTATTTTAGAAACCCTCAAAAACATTTGAACACATTTTACTTACTCATTATAGATTCTTATTTAAAGCCTAATACATATCAGACTCTACATCTGAATTGATGGACAGAGAATAGAGCGCACTCAGCAGTAAACAAATCAAACACCTGGCTCCCTTAAAGGGCCAGCATTTTCTGAAAACTATTTCTAACACCTTTGTGTTTAGAATAAGACAGACAGCCTGTGGGAGTGTGTGGTGATGCTTAAATCATTATTTTCTGCCTTTAAAATGCACGTCTCTATAAATAGCAACATAAACCATCAGAGAATTTATTGGAATTAATTCTTTGCACTACACAATTTCATACAAAGTCTACTCCTTTCAC